CCCCAAAACCCCAAAACCCCAAAACCCCTTAATACATTAATTTAATAAAGATAGAGAAAATATTCCTAAAGATAAATATTATAATACCAACATATATATTATAAAAGTGATCTATATGGATAAAAAGGTAATCAATAAAAGTTTAGCTCCTGTTTCCATGTAATAAAGCAAGACTAACTTATCAAGTTCTCAGCATCTGTTTCTCAATAACAGAGTTGAGCCTATTTCAGAAGAGAATGCTGAGTCTTGTGATTCATTAGAAAATTACAACTATCCAAGCGGTCTTGGATCTGGAACTGGAGACACTAATGCAAATACAAGCACTGTAGATTCTAGTTAGAAGATCAAGAAGAAGGCTTGGTTTAAGAAATTTAGACTTCCTCTGTTTGGAGCAAGCAAGAAGAACTAAGAGAAACAATAAGAGCACAATAGCAATAACCTATTTAATACTACATAGACTTTGACTTAAAGTTCTAGTGAGGTGTTCAAAAAGAAGTTAGATAACTTGAATTAATAAAATTTGAAGTTAGGCTAAAAATAAACTAATAAAATGATCAAAAGCTCCAAAAATGACAGTAAAAGTTAGCCGCAAAGTTCTATGACTACTTAAAATGCAAATCAAAGTGATAGTGATCCTGAAGAAGACCGAAAGAGGTTTTAATAATTAATCGCTGATGATAATAAATACTATGCTAATAGTAACCTCCTAAGATCTAATTCTCCTTCATCAGGTTTTAAAATTGGCCATAAGAATACTGTCATAGAAGAATCAAAAGGCTTTGATGACAGAGCTTTTAGAAGAGACTTAAAATAAAAGGCAAGTCAGCACAAAAGCTACTCAAGCAGAAGCAAGTAGATGAATAAAATGCTAGAGGGATCATTTATAGGCCAAATAAATACTACTAATATAAGTCCTAATGACAGGTAAATGGGTGCATTGATGACGAATGACTATGAAAACTCATTAATAGAAGAAGTAAGTATATAGAGAGCAATAAAGTATGAATCTTAATATTCTCCTGCCTTACCATTAATCAATATTTGGAATAAATTGAAACTAAATTTTAAATAGATCCTTGAAAAGAGGTATAATATACTTTCAGCTCATGATAGGATTTAACTTATAGACAAAGTTATTGAGGGAATTCCGTCATATTTAAGAGGAAAAGTAAGTACTCAATTCAAGCTTTTAATAATACTAATCTAAACATTTATAGTTTTGGCTTGTAAGTACAGGAGCATAATATATGAATGATGATCCAAATTATGTGAAATACTATTAATCTCTGATTGATGATTTTCCTGCTTATCCCAATCCAGCTTTTTATTAAATTGAGCTTGACTTAAAAAGAACTTTTCCAGAAGAAGCCTACTATAGAAAACCTAAGAATCTTGAGAAAATAAGGAGAATATTAGTTGCTTATGTCAAGCGTAATCCCTTTGTGGGCTACTGCTAAGGAATGAACTTCATTGTGGCTAGACTAATTAAACATTTGAAAGAGGAATAAGCTTTTTGGGTTTTTATTAATATGATAGAAGCAATGATTTTACCTTTGGACTATTACACATAAACTATCGGTGTACAAACAGATGTTATAATATTTAAGGACATGATTAAATCCTCTCTACCTGTAATCCATGCTAAATTTCAAGAATTAGGAATAGACTCTATGTTTTTCTCGTTAAATTGGTTCATTTGCCTTTATACTGATAAATTAAATGAAATTGTAAGGAAAATATCACGCATTAATTTATATTCGATATTTAGGTATCATGTGCAATACTAGACATGCTATTTTTGATTGGAAGTCACATATTGCTCAATATTGGAATAGCCATACTTTACATACTGAAGGAAGAGATACTCAAATGTACAAACGTTTGTAAGTTTAATATTGGAGATGATTTCAAAATATATAGAATAGTTCTACACACTGTTATATGATCATTAGAATTACATTAAAGATCCCTAGAGATTATTAATACTAGCCTGTTTCGATTAAAAAGATCTTAAAATTATGAAGCCAAGTGATGTTTATGAGCAAAGACTGAAACTTTCACAAGAAGCATTTAATAATTCTCAAGAAAAGAGGAATTTGATGTCTAATACATCGCTTACTTCTCTCATTCAAAAATAAAAGCCTAGTTCAGTCTAAATGTATCAAATGAAATAAAAGTTCTACAATCAGTTTCAATTGTTTGCAGGATTATCTAAACTAAAAAATTGTCCATTTTATTGCTCGAAAGATGAGTTGTTTAGGAATCTTGACATGAGTAAAATAGAATAGTCTGGAGTATAAAGTGCATTTCTTAGTAATGCTTTCGAGAACAATGCGATTTCAGAATATAAATGTGATATGGAATGGCCTATTTGTCTCTATGATTTCACATTTAAAGTTATCTATCCTTAGTTTTTCTGTTATAAAGTTGACAGAAATCACGTCATAGAGTGGAACTATTTTGATTTTGATAATCTTCCTAGGAGTAATGACTACTTTAACCATAGGGCTACTACTTCCTATCGAAACAATATTAGTATTTCTGACTAATTTGCTTTCAATAATCAATAAATGGCAGGTAATCATGAATCAGTTCAGATGGAAGATCTAATGAAATATAGTATTGAAGACTCAAGATTTAATTCATTATCCTTAAGGGATACTTATCGTATTAGTTCAACTGTAATTAAAATCGAGACAGTAGACTTTGAACAATAAAGAAAAGAAGTAGTAAAAGATTTACTGGTGTATAGAGGACATCATTATTGTGATGACTAGATTTTTATAAGCAAGTTTGTTGAGCTGTTCAAAATGGATAATAGAGACTTGATAGAAAGCCAAGAAGTGTTGTCCTCAACATTTATAGATACTAAGTAAAGTAAATTTATTATGGAAAACTATGTGAATTTGATAAACAAGGTTGATTTTTAAAAGCCTCATAGTACTTCTTAACTTAGAAAGAAAAGTATTTACGATATAATGCAATATGCAAAGAAAAAAAGCTCACCATTAACAATGTAGTAACTGATTGAAGGAAAAGATGACAGCTTTTATGAGTAAAGTCCGCCTAGTTAAAACTCATTTTTCAATAAAATGAAGTCAACAAGGGTAATATCTTCTTCCAGATATACAAGAGCTAGAAAGACCACAAATCTTTTGAACAGCACGTATCAAGCACATACTTCAATTTTAACTTCTGGGTCAAATGAAAAAAAGAAAACTGAAAAGAACAGCTTGCATAATAATGACAAGAAAAAACGGCCTAAATCCTAAAATTTAGTTACCTTAGACAATAGATAGAGTAAATCAAGCAGTTAATAGTAAAAGCTAATGGCAGGCATACAATTCATTGAGTAGAAAGAAGTTTAGCTCAGAATGCTTCAAAACAACATGCCTGGAAATCAGTTTGAAATTCTGAAACGATAGACCATTAGAGAGATAATGTAAAAAATAGATCCTTAGACTCTGTAAGAGAATATGTAAGTATTCAAGAGAACTTCAATGCTGTTATCTTTGGACAATGAATGATGAACCAGGGTTATGGGTAAGACTTTATGTATAGTAATTTAATTGACTTTGAATATGAGCATAATTATGACTCGTTGGATTATTTAATTTTGATTCATTTTGTCTTAAGATTAATTTTAGTAATAAATTACCATTTCTGTCAATTCATTTCATACTTTATGGGGTTTTGGGGTTTTGGGGTTTTGGGGTTTTGGGG